AAAACACTCGACATGTCAACAAACCATAAACAGAACATCTTCCCAAACACATATCAAGCTTATTTAAAAACCTCGAAAGCATAAACACTCAAAGTACATGGAAAAGGGAGATGTAAATAACCATAACTTCTTCTCCTGCGGTTTCACTAACAATGAGGCTCAGAGCTCCCCTCTCCCATCACTGCGTGTATTACAAATCAAACCACGCGATCTCTCAAAAAAGAACAGTTGCACCCAGAGGAGCTTTAGATCCCTTGGCACGCGGATTGTGGCTGTTCAGGACGTCAAACAACCTGTCAATCATCTAAAAAAAGCATAAGGCTCTGTTAACTGATATATCACCCCAAATAGTGGTATCGTATCATGGAGATCAAATTATAATCTAATTTCAATATATAAAACAAGTAAGAATTTAAGTACACAGCTCTGCTTGGATTTCACTTTACAGGTAAGTATAAACAGAGTTGGATTTCATGCAGAATATGCAGTGTTATATAACAATGTTTGCATGTTATATTACCTCAAGTAATTCTGCTGTTGCTTCACAGTTTTTAAACTGTGAATAACCAAGGTCCCTCAGTGTGCGCAGTGCTACCACTACAGAGTGACTCAGTGTTTGTGCAGCCAGGAACACCTTTATCTTCTGGCCATCCAAGTGGACATGCTTGTTTGTTATCTTGTTGGCCGCATGCAGTCCATCTTTTGTTTGGACATTGTTGAACTCAACAATGTATGACCAGCTGATTTTTTCCAGTGGTGCTGGTTATCGGGCTGTAAGCCTGCAACATGCTGCATGTCAGTTTCAACATGTGACAAGCGTCCATCAACACAAACACCCTGTCAGCGGTCACTGGATGTTCAAAGAAGGTTTTTAACGGCTCATGGGGGTTTCCCTTTAGCTGACACCCGAGCTGGTTGCACATGTTGACATTGGAGGCATGCCCATCCATTGTCATGCAGACCACTCTTATGCCATGTGCATGCAATTCCTCCAGAGCATAGACAACCAGGACCTTCTGTGTGTCTGGTGACAGAGACTTTGTGAGGTAGTAGGCAACTGGAGCTTTCCAATGACCCTGTATGCCTACCACCATAAAAACAAGCATCTCCGTGGCTACATCAGTCTCATCCATGCCATTCCCCATATCCACATATCCAGACATTTTCTGGGTATAGGGATTGTACTGGACATGTTTTTTGATGGCCATGGCATCCAACATGAGGGCCACAGAGCCATATTTAGCAGCGTCTTCTTCACATCTTCTTTGCAACATGTCCAACATCATTGTGTTGAGCCCAGGCTTGGCCTCCTCTGATTGCATCCACCTTTACAAAAAGAAAATAAATAGCTATTTAAATGCTTCAACCCTTGGATCCCTATTTTGGGCACTTTTTCATTTTTTCTAAGATTGTTCTTTTTTGCAAGACTTTCAAAAAAATAGTGAAAATAGCACATACATGCTCAAAACTGCTACATCAGTTCCCTGTTTGTTGTACATTATGTAGGGCTGAAG